TATTTGCTCCTGGGTTGTCTTGTGCTCCTGGGTGGCCTCGAACAAACAGCAATCAGTAATCAGCATTGCTACCATTGTATCATCATTACATGGGTTAAACATGCATTGTATGACTATAATGCTGTAAATCAGGGGTCGCCAACCTTTTGGACCTCAGCGATCACGAAACTCAAACTTTTAAATCCCGAGGCCCACTAATATGTTTTTTTTTTAAAAGATAATATATTTAATGTAAAAATTTTATTTTTTATATTAAATATAAATGGGAACTGTGGGGCAGAGTGAAGGGAAAGGAAGGGCTTCTCTTATCCTTTGGTTTTGGGGGGGAATCCAAAGTCCTGGTGTTTTGTCTTTGTTAAGAGTAATGTGTAACTAGTATTTTTTCCCTATACTTTCACACTTATGAAAGCTTGTCAGCAAGCACGAAATACCCATTTCCACTCTGTTTTCATTCATTTCAGTTATTACAGGACAAACATTTGAATGCACAGTACCGTCTAACATTTTCCTGATATAGATCACTCTGTAGCTGTCAAGCCATGCAAATTTCCCCTGTGAATTTAAGTCCCCAGCAACGGTGGATCTTCCTTCCACCACCACCACCACCACCACCATTTTGAGACTGGAAAGAAAAGACACAGAGACATGCAAATTCCCCCCCCCCCCCCCCCCCTCCACCTCCACCCCCCCGCAACGGTGGATCTCCCCCCCCCCCCCCCCCCCACCCCCCCCATTTTGAGACTGAAAAAAAAAAACACAGAGACATGCAACCCCCCCCCCCCCCCCGTGAATTTAATTTGCTTTCTCTCTCTCCCTCACACCCCCCACATCCCCTCCAAGGCAGCCCCATTCCTAGCCTGCTTTGAGCTCCGTTCTCAGGCTGCCATGCAAGGAAAGCAGCAGAAGCCTTTTTTTCTCTTCCCCAAACTCCGCCAGAAATGAGTCTTTGCAGCCGCTTGGAGCAGGAAGCCTTGCAGGGTCCCAAAGACTCATTTCTGGCAGAGTTTGGGGGATAGAAAGAAAGACTTTTGCTGCTATCCTTGCATGCAGCCAAAAGCAGAAAATGAAAGAAGCGGAAAGAAGCAACTGGGTGGCCAGGCAAGTTCTCCCCTCCCCCCTTTCCCCGCTCCCCTCACTACCTTGTATTGTTCCTAATGCAAGCGATGCAAGCCTTGTGTTCCCGGGGCCATGTGGGTGGCAGAGCCTTGTGTTCCCCCACAGCCTGGATTAATTGCTTTGGGGTGGCATTTCCCTGCCGACCGCCAAATTTTTCTCGCGGCTCACCAATTGGCGACCACTGCTGTAAAATACTGATCTGTACAAAACTGAATAGTAAATAGTATGGAAAGTAAATTATAGGATATACCTGTTAGGTGATTAAATGCAGACCGAAGATGGGAAGTTCATGTAAATCACTACTACTATCAATATCAACTGGATTTCTTTAGGTTCAGCTGGGAATACCCGTGTTCTTGTTTGAAAACGTCCTTCACTGTTTGAAGACTTCAAATTGGAAACAGTTCAGTTGAGCTGAGCTAAGTCTCCTTCTGAATACTCTTGTTCAATATTTGTGGTCCATGCTTGGTTCAGTTCCAAAATAAAAAATGGTTAGAGAAATTGATAGAGGGCAAGAAACACTTTATTGTGTGTTAAGAGATGGTCAGAGTTGCTGGTACTTCTAGAAATTATAAGTAGCTAAGATTTCCTGAAGTTACACCAAAATTTGCACATACTTGGTGCCAATAAATTTTCAGATGTAAACTTTTTGAAAAGATTTAAGATTCAAAATTCATTCTTGGCATTAGAACTTAAAGAAAATATTATATGGTATAACAGTTTTTAACATGCTTCTTTCCAAAATAAGAGTTAGAGAATTTGTACATTGTGTACTCTTTTTTAAAAAACAAATAAAAAATTCACATTTTGTTTTTTAATCCCATACTAATATGTGAGAAACACATGTAAAAGCATTGCCGGGTGTAAAATCTTAGAACAATAAGTCATCAATTTAAAAGACTTTAGTTTAGCAGAATTTAGATGTAACAAACAACAAAATTTTCCTCCTAATATCTCAGGTAGCAGATAAATTCTACTTTATGGATTTTTAAAAGAAATTTGGGTAAATTATCAATTTATATCTTTTGTGTAATGATGTTGCTAAATAATGTAAATTGACTGACTATAAATTTGACTATAATTCATATCTAACACATAGCTTTTCCCTGATAAAACTGAGGGTTATTGTACTTATAATGATTTTCTGTAGTCCTTAGGCATTAGAAAAGATGAATACTTATTCTAGGAACTGAAATATAGTTTTTAGTTCTGTACAAAGTATTTATATTTAAAAATTAACAGGGGTTCCACTCATATAAATCAGTACTACACTCATGGTACTATTATAAATTCTAACACTCTTAATGATTTCAGTAGAAATTGCTGCTAAAGGTCTGTTTTAGATATGCATATTCCTTTCTTTGAAAAATAACAAAGGCTGTTGCTCTTTAAGCATAATGAGCTTTCAAGTTTTTCACTTATGAATATGAAGCATTACATTTAAATATTTCTTCCCAAGATTCTTAAACCATGAATATGCTTAATAATTTGCTTATATCTTAGAAAAAACATGTAGTGTAAATTTTTAAATTTTTAATGAATTTTTTTGCCATTATACAAACTCTAAAGATATTTTTCTCCTTCTGTTTACAGCTACCTGCAGATTTTACAAAACTGCACCTCACTGACAGTCTCCATCCACAGGTGACCCACGTTTCATCTAGTCATTCAGGATGTAGCATCACCAGTGACTCTGGCAGCAGCAGTCTATCTGATATCTATCAGGTATGCTACAATGGTTTTTAAAATCTCATTCTTAGTTAAATTTTAACAATTGAATATCATTGTTGAACTACTTTGCAAATCTAAGCAGAGTTGTGAAACCAACAGTGATTTATGTTGATGACAAACAACTACTGACTATCCAAGTAGTAACAACTGGTACTGACAACTATTGGAAGCTGTAATTCAGCAGCATATCATGGATTAGAAGTATTCTTCTTACAAAAGTGTTTATGAATCCATCCATTAATTTTTAGGTCATATGAATATGCGTTTGAATTTTGAAATTGAAAGTAGAACAATTTGATTCATATCTAGTTACAATTATCAGCAAGCATATTGTGGTTAAATAACACTTTGCAACATGCAGTAGTTATTTTGTCATATATATTTTTATTTACGTTTGGTAGGAGGGCTTGTTTGCTTTGACTAATAATTACAAAAGAAGTCTAAAAAATGAATCATAGAAATATTTTATGATTTTTGTGTGCGTTACTTGTCATACAACGAAGCAAACTCAGATACTTAGCTCATGGTTCTTATTGGGGACCTATTAGATATAAAGGAGTAGCCAGAATGGCAGAAGCCATTTTCCCTGTTCGCCATTGCCACACACTGGGTGGAGGGGGAGGGAATGCATTACTAGGCACAAGGCTTTCCTGTGAGAACCAAGGTCATCTCCCAGGTGATGGAAGAAGGAGGAGAGAAGCGCCTGAGAAACCTGCCAGCCAAGCTAAATAGCCAACATGATAAGTGACACTTGGAGGGAAGGGTTGTTGCTGGGTTTGAACTATGCTGAAACCAAGGGAAAGAGTTAGAGTTGGTTTTACGCTAAGTGGGCCGGTATGTGCCCAATAAAGGAATTATTTGAGGAAAATGACAGCCTCAGAGTTCTGATTTGCTTGGGCTCATTAGTTGGAACCTTGACAATTTCAATATTTATAAATGATACAGTAGAAACTAGTGTCCCAAAGTAGGAGTGCTGAGAATGTGAATATGTAAATGTAGATAGTCCTTGACTTATGACCACAATTGAGCCCAAAATTTTTGTTGCTAAGGTAAGCAAGACAATTGTTAGGTGAGTTATGCTCCATTTTATGAACTTTCTTTTCACAGTTATTAGAGAAATCACTGCAGTTGTTAATTTAGTAACACAGTTGTTAAGCGAATTTGGCATCCCCATTTATTTGCAAAAAGGGATCACATGAACCCAGGACACTGCAAGTGTCATAAATATGAGTCAGTTGCCAAGCATCTGAATTTTAATTACATGACCATGGAGATGCTGCAGTGATCGTAAGTGTGAAAAAGGATTATAAGTAACTTTTTTTCAGTGCTGTTGTAACTTCGAACAATCACTAAATGAACTAAGGACTACCTGTAAAATCTAAGACTAAGTGTGAGAAATACAAAGCAGGGTTTCCATTAAGCTGCTGGAAGAGTAGGAGAAAAAGGTGCCAAGTTGAATTTAAAAGAAGAAGCTGTAATAACGTCATTCAGTCAGAGGTTTGATGTGGTTTTAATCAATAATAGCTATGTTGTGACTTAATTTCAGACTAAGATTAAAACCATATCAAATAGCTGATTGCCCAAAGAAGTTTGAATTAAGAGTAAGAGTGGTGAGCCAGTTTCTATCCATTAATGTTTCTGCAAACCGATGATTGCATAATAAAGTTGGAGATAATTTCTAGAAGTTCCCCAGTTTTGTAGAACCACCGAACATTTATTCTCTTTATCAGCAACAAGGATAAACATCAACTGAAGCTAAGTAGTTCTTTCTATCTCATTGTTATTAGGAAATATTAGGGTATATGCAAATACATCTCTCCCAACCCAGTTAAGAATATCATGTGATTAGATCCTACACATCATGTATTCCAAATTCCAGGTCAATTCAGTTTCCGCAGACAAGATATGGCTTTAGAGTGTGATATTTGGCCATTCTTTAGATAATTTCAATAAAGGAGACCCCATTTCATCTTTAAGCAATCTTTCATGTGAAAAAGGTCTCATGCTTCTAAGAAAGTTCTCATACAAGTCAGCTGATAACTGCTTCTCTACAAATATTCATTGCACTAGCTACTGTAAACTTGACGAACCCCTGCTTGCTCTTATTATTATTATATTTAGTATATACTCAAACCAGCTATAACTTTTCCTGACATTAACACCACTTTGATTACGCTGTAGATTTCTGGATGTGTTTCTTTGGGAACATTGCCCTACTTCTAATATCATCCAGTCTTCCCAAACTCATGAAGGCATCCAGGGGCAGTATTCCTCAGATTGCTGGGTGTGATACCATACTGTGTTTATTACATTGAGCTCTAACTCTCTGCCCGAGCGTCTTGACTCTGTGACAAATTTGGCAGTGGGATTCCCAGGACCTTTGGTTTTGGGAGACCTCAATTTGTCTTCCCTGGGTATTGGGGCAGAGGTATCTCAGGAGTTCATGGCCACCATGATGGCCATGGTCTTGGCTCATGTCATCCAGGCCCAGTGTATAATAGTGGTTGTATACGTGGCCTGGTTTTTCTATTGGAGCACTGGCAGAGTATTCTGAACTTGGGAAACATATGGGTTTCCTCATATTATGCTTATTTCATTGCCTGGTAAGCCTACGATTCTCCACTATGGTGGAGATAGCATTCAGGATTGGGTGATCAGTCTCTGCTTGCTGATTGGATTGGGTCTGTCAAAACTTTGAGGACACTCCCTCTGCCATTAGGGACCTCTCCAGAAATTGACTCAGTCAGCTAGCTGGACGACGACGTGTTAATTTATTTTCCTAAACAACCAAAATTTAATTGAATTTAATTCAACAAACAAAGGAAAAAAACCACCAATCCTGAATACCATTTCAAAGAGGAACTGGTCTACCGGTTTGACAGCTGTCAGACAGCGCGGTCGAGGGGCTTCAGCCGCCGGACGACAGATCGGCTGAGGGCTGATCTACATCGTATTGAGGTACCTTTTGCAGAAGGTGTGTAGAAACACCATCCACACTGCTTCCCCGTGCTTTGGCTTGGCAAGGCTCTCAGCCTCTCAACTCTGGAATAAAAACCTTGGAGTTAAAGATGGCAGAGTCAAACGCTAACTGCGATGTCAGGAGGGCAAGGAGGTGACTCGCTGGCCATCACACTCTCTAAAGCCCAGCAGCCCCAGACCAAACAGATCCCTATTACAGCCCCAAGGACCAGGTTGCAGGGGCTCAAAAGAACTCCAATGCAGCTGAGCAGGACGAGCACCGAAGAGACAAGGCTCTAGATAAGTTGTGGGCTCGGGGAAAAGAAGCAGCCCGAACTTCGGAAGAAATGGCGCCCATTTTTAGTTTCCTGCCTAAATCAGGAGCAGCGGCCGTTATTAAAGGGAGATAGGCAGCTGCCAACTGACAGGAGTGCAGTAACAGAAGCGGCCACAGGGGGAGCTGAAGAGCAGCAGGACTCTATAGAGGCTTCAGAGATTAGAAATTTGTTCTCTGTCTGCCCAGCAACAGAGCAACTGACAGTTTCTGATCAGAGACACAGAAGGGCTTCAGAAGCCACATTCACCCCCGTGTCATCTGGAATTAGGCCAGTCAGGGGGCAGGAGCCTGAGTACCAGGTTAATATGCAGGCTGTGTTAAATGAGGCAGTAAGGCAAGGGGTGTCATCTGTCTTGAGACAGACTAGGAGATCACCCTCAGAGGCTTCCGTCCCTTCATCCAGACGTAGCAGGAGACACAGGTCTCCTCATGAGGATGATTTTTCCCTGCATTCAGAATCGGGCTCATATGTTCCTGCTGAAAGCTCCCACTCTTGTCACATCTGAAAGTGGGCAACTGATGGACACAAACTACTCTGATGATGAAGGCCTCAACGATGCTGACCAAGTCTCTATACCAGGTCTGTTCCAACCAGCCACCTTCAGGTCGCTCCTTTTCAAGGCCAAAAAAGCCACAGGGCGAGGCTTGGTTCCTGAACCACGGGAGCCTACTGACCCTTCTGAGGACTTCAATGACCCACTATTTTCAGAAAAAACAGTAACAGCAGATGTCATTCCTGTTTACCACATTCCTAAAAGATGTTCACCACTGTCATCCAAAGGCAGTGGTCATCCCTTGGGTGGGGCCCAAGCCCTTCCTCCCTGGACAAGAAGATGTTCAACGTGGGAGGAGATCTAGACAAAGCCCTGCAAGTGCCCAATGTCGATGCCCCAGTTGCGGCCCTGCAAGCCACCACTGACATCCCCGGGGAGCCTGAGGACTTGCTGATGGTGAAGGACAAGAGGGCAGCCTTGTCTGTCAGGAAAAACCTTTGTGTTTTTCACACCAACCGAGTGGTGTTACGACTAGACCCTTCATTCGTGCCAAAGGTGAACTCATGGTTCCACAGAGCCCAGGAACTAATCTTATCTGACTTTTGTCTGCATCCTGTGCACGCGTTAGAAAGAAGATGCCATACTCTAGATGTTCAGAGGGCTTTGAGGATTTACATTAAGAGAACATTGTCCTTCAGGAGGTCTGAATCCCTCTTTATTTCCTTTCAACCTTCTACCATGGGCTGCAAGGTGACTCTAACGACTGTGGGGAGATGGATAAGACTATGCATATCCAAAGCCTACCAATCCCAAGGATTTGCAGTTCTTCCAAGGATAACAGCGCACTCAGTGAGAAGTGCAGCCACATCGATGGTGTGGGCCACCCAGGCCTCTTTGGGGGAGGTTTGCAGGGTAGCTACCTGGGCCTCACCTTCTCCGTTCATCAGACACTATAAGCTGGACTCTTTTGCTTCTGCTGAGACAGCTTTTGGATGGAGAGATCTGCAAAAGGTCCATCCTGTATGAGGGATTTGGACCGCACTAGGCCACCCATAGGACAGCCTGCTTTGGTATGTCCCGATCCTGAATGCTATCTCCACCACAGTGGAGAAGGGTCGTTGTTTTTCACCTGATACGACCTTTCTCTTTGGGTGGAGATAGCATTCAGTCCCACCCATTTGTGGTGCGTTCTGAATGAAATGGTGTATGATATGTTTATAGGAGAACACGTCAGTCTGTCACTATTCTAACAGCAGAGGAAGTGTCCTCAGAGTTTTGACAGTCCAATCAGACCCAGGCAGACCCAGTCCAATCAGCAAGCAGAGACTGATCACCTAATCCTGAATGCTATCTCCACCCAAAGAGAAAGGTTGTATCAAGTGAGAACCAACGACCCTTCTGTGGTGGTACCCCACTCCACAGGGAGACTGATACTAACAGATTGGACTACCCCCAATGACTGATGGAATCAAGAGGGAGCTTGGTGTTGTTCCAGAAAGTCTGCACATGGTCTGCATCTTTGTACTGGATTGTGCCTGAGCTTTAGTGGCTGTGTTGTTAGCCAATATGCTTCTAGTTGCAATTAATAGTGCTGGTTCTCACCTTAAAACGCTTCATGGCTTGGGGCCATCTTCTGGCAGTTATTTCTACCCATTCAATCTGGTCTGGCCAGATGGGCATGTTCTGTGTCCCATCAGCCAAAGTATGTTGGTTGGTGGGACCAGGAGGTATGTTTTTTCTGCTATAGCACCTTCCCTCTGCCCAGGTATTTCTGGCTTTGGAGGTGTTTCCATTATTCAATTTTGCTTTTAGCATTTTCTCAACCTTTGGGTGTATTCTTTATTAATCACATTTTAATGTTCATACTTGATGTTATCCGACTGTAAAATGCCCAGATACTTGTAGACTTCATCCTAATGGCTTCTGGTGGTTTGGCCTTTTGGCATTTCAATTTCATTGCTGTTTGTGATCTTACCCTGATTTATTGCTACTGCAGTATTTGTCAATGACCTGATTTCAGTTTCTGATTTTCCATAAATTCTAGATCATCCACATAAAGTGAATGTGAGATTTTATTAGAATTATTTTTGCTGCTTGGTAGCCAATATTTGTTTTCTCCATGACTGAAATGACCGAAAGTTGGATCATTACAGTGACAAATAATAAGGGTGATCTTGTCTCTCTTAATGTTGACATGCATTGTTTTCATTTCCAGCATCTAATTAATTAATTAAATATTAAGTAATATTAATTTCTAATAATTTCTATTTTCAGAATTTTATTTCTTATACTTTGAAGGTGAGAATCACCTTTAGTTTGATTGAAATAGCTGATTTTGCTTAAATTGGATGATTCATGCAATGATTCACAGTGTTCAATTATCTGCTGTGGTTCTTTGCTTTATGATTTCCAAAGTTTCTCCAGTTTTTCTGGTACATTTCTGTTATTTCATGTTCTTTAAATTACTTACATCTGATTTTAATTTTTTTTTATCTCATCCTCCAGTCTGATCTACTTTAGGTTTGAATAAGATTTTGGTTTTGGTTTTCTAATATGGATACCCAGTTCTTCTGTTAAACATCATTGCAGTACTGTAGGCAAACCAATTGGTCTGTTTGATAGACGTTATTTTAATCATTGCAGCCATCTTTTTGATATCCTTTACTATAGAAGCAATAACTTTTTTATTTATTTCCATCATAGTTTTTTATTTACCATGGGCATAACTCTTAACCTCCTCCTAGCTCTCTGTCTGTTTATGTTTTGGTTGACTCAATGTGATGAATATACCTAATACATCTTCCTCCTATTTTCCCCACAATAACAACCCAGTGAGGTGTGTTGAGCTGAGAGTGACTGATCCAAGTCACCTAGCTGGCTTTCATGGTTGTTACTTTGGGGGAATGTAGGAGGAATGTATGTGCTCATAACAGGTGTCTTCAAACTTGATAGCTTTAAGACTTGTGGACTTCAACTCCCAGAATTCCTCCTCCAGTCATATTAGCTCATAACCCTTGGCTCATAACATAATTCTAATGAAGAAATAAATAACTATCAACAAGAATAAAAAGCCCCTTTGATATAAAGGTTAGGCTTTTTTACAATTTTAGTTTTCTAAAATTTATTTTAAATATGATTATTAACCAGCAGTAGTGGGATTGGTACTTTAGCAAAAATAACATGGCCTTGTTTCATAGTTCATTATTTTTACTAGGCTAAACTAAAAGACTGTTCTTCAAAACACTTTAAAATACAGATACCGCAACTCCTACTAGATTAATTTCTGTACTTTCTGTTACATATTATATAAGAACTACTCTCAAAAAACAGGAGATCAATTTCTTTTATTTGAGCGAGTGAGTGAGCTAACTAGCTAGATATAATTTTTAAACATTTTTGTTTTATATTTTTAATTAATCAAATTGCAAAAAATGAACACTCATTTTTCTTATTTCTGTATAATATGTAGTAGTTTCTGCTGTTTTAAAAAATAGGAAGGTGGCCTGAGAAGTTATAAATGGAAAAATCAAAGTCAGTTGGATATTGGTTATGGGTTGAAAAAATGGTTGAGAAATTCCCAAAAAAGAACATTGGGCAGAATGAATAGAAAAAACAGCTGTCAGGCCAAAAAGCTGAGAATGAGAAATTGGTGTCTGTACAGGTATGATAGGTAGTGGCAGGATATGATGTCTGGGATTCTAGTTGAGATAGGAGATGCATGTGCTGCCACTTATCTAGAATACTCATATATCCTGTTGTAGTTCAACAATAACAACAACAATAACAAATTATCAACATAAATATATCTCAAAAGATAAAAAGTGATTTATTAAAATATAATCTTTTCAAATATGACTGTTGCTTCTGAAGTTTGGCTGAAGTAACTTTGGTCCTTTACAACATGTTGGGATTTTTACTTAAGAATTTATTTTTGGCAAACATATTTCTGAATAAAAGGCAATACATCAAATCCATTAATAGAAATAATAGCATAATAGAAAGCCTACAATCCTTTATTCTGAATTTTATATTATCATTTTAGGCCACAGAAAGTGAAGCTGGTGACATGGACCTGAGTGGATTACCAGAAACAGCAGTAGATTCTGAAGATGATGACGATGAAGAAGATATTGAGAGGGCTTCTGATCCTTTGATGAGCAGAGATATTGTTAGAGACTGTCTAGAAAAAGATCCAATAGACAGGACAGATGATGATATTGGTAAGCTACCAACAAAAAAGGAAAGGACGATTTAAAAACTTAAGAACTTTTGATGAGATATTTTCAATTTCAGAATTTAACAGAATGAAATTATTTCCATGAATCAAAATAGAATTAACAAAACCAAGTTCTAAATGTCTGAGATGAACATGCTGTGTATATGGATGCAGTGATGAAACCTGTTGGACTTCCCACCCCATTCTTTCCAATTCTATCATTTAGTCTTTACTGAAAGTATTACTGACATTTAACTTAACAGAATGGTGTGAAATTCATCATTTAATAAGAGTACACCAATATAATAAAAAACAATCGATTTTTTTTAAAAAAAAATTAAAAATGTATATTTTCACCACAATTTCTTTGCAAATGAGAATACACAGCCTAATAATTGAATAACACAAATAACAATAATAATAGTCAGCTAAGGCTAATCAGCACGTATCTCATTTAAGGACTTTTCAGTTCATATAGACTCTTCCAATGTTCTGGTCCAATTATTGAGAGGAGAATCAGGATTTAAGACTTTACAGCATGACATAAGGGTCAGGACAGTCTGAATCTCAGCTATAAAGTAGGATACTCAGAAATTTAAACCTACATGTGATATATACAATATTTTTTAAATTATAACAAGAGATGGACAGCTTATACAAGATTTAACATTCCATATTAAGGAAACTGTTCATGTAAATGGTGATGATGAAGCAAACAAAACATTAAAAAAAATTGTGCGGGGGGGGGGGAACAGCTAACCGAAAAAGTTGAAACATGAAAATACTACTAAAAAACCTAGAAAAACAGTTTACATTACTTTTTATTTGTAATGGAAAAAATCGATAGTTTTACTATGTGAAAATTGCATTGTGTTAGATATAATGAAATAAATATGTTAAATGCTATTTTGTTCCAGTGACCTGAAAAAAATATTGTCACTCCCCACCCTCCAGTCTCATATAAACTATCCAAATACATTACAGTTAAAATAAGGATATAGAAGCAAATTGTTTATGCAACCTTATCCCTGAGGCTAGGATCATTAAACCACTCCAATAACTTTTTTCCCACTTCCATTGGGCTTGAAAGGAAAGTTCTATATGTCAATAGGAAGTCTTCTATGTAAGTTGGATCCACTACTGAATGTTCTTCGACTAAATGCATTGTTAATCTTTCCGGTGTTCCCTGTAAAAGTAAATATTCAAACATCAACAAATGAATGTGTTTTTCTTTGCATCTTATTTGTTTTATCAAATTTAAAACCGAATGGAATCTTTATTAGACTATATTTTAAATCAGACAATGACATATCACACACACACATACAATATATACATATACACACACGTATTAAAGATTAACATTTGCATTCATGTTATATGCAACTTTCTCTGCTACATGCAAAGTTAGTAGAAGCGGTTTTAACAAAGTTCAGTCTTACCACAAGAGTCTCTGTGTGTGTGTGTGTGTGTGTGTGTGTGTGTGTGTGTGTGTGTGATATGTCATTGTCTGATTTAAAATATAGTCTAATAAAGATTCCATTCGGTTTTAAATTTGATAAAACAAATAAGATGCAAAGAAAAACACATTCATTTGTTGATGTTTGAATATTTACTTTTACAGGGAACACCGGAAAGATTAACAATGCATTTAGTCGAAGAACATTCAGTAGTGGATCCAACTTACATAGAAGACTTCCTATTGACATATAGAACTTTCCTTTCAAGCCCAATGGAAGTGGGAAAAAAGTTATTGGAGTGGTTTAATGATCCTAGCCTCAGGGATAAGGTTGCATAAACAATTTGCTTCTATATCCTTATTTTAACTGTAATGTATTTGGATAGTTTATATGAGACTGGAGGGTGGGGAGTGACAATATTTTTTTCAGGTCACTGGAACAAAATAGCATTTAACATATTTATTTCATTATATCTAACACAATGCAATTTTCACATAGTAAAACTATCGATTTTTTCCATTACAAATAAAAAGTAATGTAAACTGTTTTTCTAGGTTTTTTAGTAGTATTTTCATGTTTCAACTTTTTCGGTTAGCTGTTCCCCCCCCCCCCGCACAATTTTTTTTAATGTTTTGTTTGCTTCATCATCACCATTTACATGAACAGTTTCCTTAATATGGAATGTTAAATCTTGTATAAGCTGTCCATCTCTTGTTATAATTTAAAAAATATTGTATATATCACATGTAGGTTTAAATTTCTGAGTATCCTACTTTATAGCTGAGATTCAGACTGTCCTGACCCTTATGTCATGCTGTAAAGTCTTAAATCCTGATTCTCCTCTCAATAATTGGACCAGAACATTGGAAGAGTCTATATGAACTGAAAAGTCCTTAAATGAGATACGTGCTGATTAGCCTTAGCTGACTATTATTATTGTTATTTGTGTTATTCAATTATTAGGCTGTGTATTCTCATTTGCAAAGAAATTGTGGTGAAAATATACATTTTTAATTTTTTTTTAAAAAAAATCGATTGTTTTTTATTATATTGGTGTACTCTTATTAAATGATGAATTTCACACCATTCTGTTAAGTTAAATGTCAGTAATATTAATTCACTGAGTGTAATATTTTTATATGAAAATGTAACGCCATTTTATATTTCCTTCAGGTTACACGGGTAGTTTTATTGTGGGTGAACAATCACTTCAATGATTTTGAGGGAGACCCTGCAATGACTCGTTTTCTGGAGGAATTTGAGAACAATTTGGAAAGAGAGGTATAAATAGAGCCCTAGACAAGGAAAGAAAAACGTTTTGGTGCTCTGTTGAGAATAATATTGAAATTAATGGATCTAAATTAAATATTTTTGCTTACAGAAAATGGGTGGACATCTGAGGCTGTTAAATATTGCATGTGCTGCTAAAGCGAAACGAAGGATGATAACATTAACCAAGCCATCTCGGGAAGCTCCTTTGCCTTTCTTATTACTAGGAGGCTCTGAAAAGGGATTTGGAATCTTCGTTGACAGCGTCGATTTGGGTAGCAAAGCTACTGAAGCAGGGTTGAAACGTGGAGATCAGGTATGCAAATTAATGTTTGAAATGTCAATAGGCACTTTCAGAAAAAGAAAAGGTTTAACTGTTCCCTTTTTATATGAAAACTAAAGAGAGAAAAGGAAAGCACAGGAGATTTGCAGAAAGGTTATCATTTCTGGAACACTGGAAAGTTTTGTGAATGAGGCAGTGAAATACAGAGAGAAGTGTATTCCAAAAACATCAGTTGAATGTGAATTCATTGGAAACAAACAGTGTTGTTTTTATGATATATTTTAAACTTCTGATTTTTCTAATTTCCAAGGTTGAGATTCTCTTGTTTCTCTATCTAGATATTGGAGGTGAATGGCCAGAACTTTGAAAATATTCAGCTAGCAAAAGCCATGGAAATTCTTCAAAATAATACCCATTTATCTATCACTGTGAAAACAAACTTATTTGGTAAGTATTATAGATTAATAGAGTTGGAAGGGATCTTGTAGGTTATCTAGTCCCATCCAAGCAGGAAACCCTACACCATTTCTGACAAATGGCAGTCCAATCTCTTCTTGAAAGTCTTAAGTGATGAAGCTCTCACAACTTTTGAAGGCAAGCTGTTCCATTGGTTGATTGTTCTCACTGTCAGAAAATTTCTCCTTATTTCCAGGTTAAATCTCTCCTTGTTCAGTTTCCATCCTTTATTCCTTGTATGGTCTTCAGGTGCTTTGGAAAATAGCTTGACCCCTTCCTTTCTATGGCAGCCCCTCAAATATTGGAAGACTGCTATCCTGTCTCCTCTGGTCCTTTTCTTCACTAGTCTAGCCATGTTCAGTTCCTGTAACTGTTCTTCATATGTTTTAGTCTCCAGTCCCCTAAACATCCTGGTTGCTCTTCTCTGCACTTTTTCTAGAGTCTCAACATTAATATATGTATTAATGACAAGGTTGTCATTTTCATTCAAATAAAGTATGTTAAAAGTGTGATACAATATTTATCCAATTAATTGGCCTATATACCATCAACTACTATATGATTCTATCTCATTAATAACATGACTTAAAAACACCACTGGTTTCAATAAAATGACCATGATGATTAAAGAATAAAATAAACTAATCCATAATAAATAAATTAATATGTAAATAAATGCTATTAAAAACTGCATAGACCAGCAAGCATTAACAATATTTGTTTGGATATAAAACCAAGCAGATTTTAGAATCAAATTAATAAACAACCTGGCTGAGATGATACACTTTGCAACACAAGTATTAACAAAAAACAGTACAAAATCCCCATTTTTCATATCAATGACAAGAACAGTGAAACTTATAAACCATCCCATATTGCTTTACAAGACCCTATGGGAAGTTTACAATATCATATTGCCCGCAATAATCTGGGTCCTCGTTTTACTGACCTCAGAAGGATGGAAGACTGAGTCAATCTTGAGCCCATCAGAAAAATTAGGGGCTTGAGCAGTGCATGAAAACCAATTGGAAATGTCCAATAACTATAAATTATTTATTGCCATTGCGTATCACATTAAAGTCAGCAAAAAGACCACTTGTTTGTTTATTTACATTTCATGTTTCAGGGAGCGTCTCTAGGCAATATACAGTATAATCGATATATGAAACAGCAGATAAAAATAATAAAATATTGAGATTAATTTAGGGTTAAAAATTTAACAATTAAAAGATTATGACATTTCAAAGAAATAAAAATAAAAGATGGTAATTTAACACTGGTTAATAAGGCTCTCATGGCATCAGCCGGCCCCACAATACCATGGACCTTTTTGCCCCCCATGCAAGATCGTATCGCCAGTTTTGACCTCTTTACGGCAAGCAAGAAAGTGGGGGCTGCCTTAGCTTTGGGGAAAGGATATTGTATAATGCAGGGACAGCAGCAGAGAAGGTTGCCTTCCTAGATCTCGCCACACCAGCTTCCATACACTTTTGAAGGGTAGCCCCATGTAGAGCACATTGCAGTAGTCCAATCGGAAGGTGACGAGGTCATGAGTGACAAAATGGAGAGCTGCCCGATCATAATTGGCACACAATGCAGAGCTGCCCAAAGGACCTCTTAGCCACAGCTTCCACTTGCTCTTTAGCAGGAGCCATGAGTCTAAGAGGACACCGAAGTTACGCAGCAGTATTCTGTTGACAAAAGATCCCCCAAAGCGTGCACGCCATTGCATTCTACACCACCTGTAGCTTCTGAATTCTTTCCAAGGCTAGCTCCAAGTAGAGCACATTATAGTAATCCAACGAAGAGATGACATCCAACAAAGAGATGACATCCAACGAAGAGATGGCATGAGCAGGACCTCACAATCTAGGTAAGGGTACAAGTGGTGCGTATGACAAAGTTGTACAAAGGCTCTCATAGCCACAACTGCCACCTCCTCTTAGAGTAGGAGACACCAAGTCCAGGAGAACCCCGGATTGTGTGCTAGACCTATCTATGGTAGTGCAAACCTGTCCAGAATGAAAGTTGATAAACAGTTGAATCCTGAGGTCTCTTGTACCCACAGCCACTCTATCTTGCCCCAGGGTTCAGCTGAAGCCTGTTGTCCCCTATCCAGACCTCTACAGCCTCCGTGTTCTGAAAAAGGGCAGACACAGCATCACTTGGCTTACTGGGATGGAAAGGTAAAGGTGTGTATCATCAGCATACTGATGATATGTCCTCCCATGGTGTCAGATGTTCTCACCCAGCAGTTTCATGTAGATATTAAAACGGAGTGAACACAGAGCCCTGCAGCACCCCACAAAGGAGGGGAACTGGATCTCTCACTCCCTATTAACACTGCCTTGAAGGAAGGAAGTGAACCAGCACAAAACTGTGCGGCCCACACTCATCTCTTTAAGTTGGCCCCAAATGATACCACGATTGATGGTATTTGAAAGCTGCTGAGAGATCAAGGAGAGCAATCAAAATGTTAGGCTTCAAAAACCAAGAAAGACAGATTGAAGTTCTTCTAAGCAGCTTCCTTTATTATTTCTGATTTATAGACAAAAAGCTTATCAAACTAAAACAGACTATTTGCAACATTAAACATAATCTGAAAACTACTGGGAGCAAGCTGTCTTAACTCTTTCTCTCACACAAACTATCTAAACTTCACTGTCTTTTGATCCTTTGGATTGCATTTTTTCCCCTCCTGGGAATCCAGACTACATTCCATCACAGACCTTCTCAGTGGGGTTTTGGCAGCAAAGTCAATGGTGGGAACCAGATTCATAAATGATCGCATGATTCACTCAACACCAGCAGTGATTTGCTTAGCAACATGGCACATAACGTAAAATCAAATGCAAATCATTTAATGAATGCATTGCTTAGAAATGGACCTTGGTGGAATCTTCTATTTACTGGAACTTGAAAAGTATACATGGAGGAGGACTATTTTTCCACCTGCTTTCTTTTTCTTTCTATGCAGTTTTTAAAGAACTTCTGGCAAGATTGTCTGAGGACAAAAGAAATGGTGCTCCTCATCTTCCTAAAATTGGTGATATTAAAAAAGCAAGCCGTTACTCCATCCCAGATCTTGCAGTTGATGTGGAACAGGTGATGGGCTTGGAAAAAGTAACAAAGAAAAGCAAAGCCAACACTGTTGGAGGAAGAAACAAGTTAAAGAAAATACTGGACAAAACCCGCATCAGTATCCTGCCTCAGAAACCATACAAGTGAGTGTGAAATGTAGAAGGACAATATGCTTTCACGCTATATACTACATTAGCTTAGATATGTCACCCATGCATTTTTTTAGCATTGACAAATGATTATAAACAAAGAGCATAGAAGAATAAACCAGGGATGAAAGGGAAGAATTTCAAAATATGCTTATGGAAAACCAAATGAAATATTATTTCTATTTTTCTAAGTCTTAGAATAAAAGTAGGCATAATTGATCGTTCTGTTTGCTTGAATATAGATCCTGGCATAGAAGAATACAGGTAAATGAAATAAAATGTTGTTGGTTAGAGAAAGATTCTAAGATTGTTTTGACAGTTGAATAAATGATAAGAAATCTCGAAGCAAATATACAGAGAGAATCCATCAGTGCATCTTGATCTGTGCTTTGTGTTAATAATTAAACCCAACCCAATGGTTTCCAGAACTGGTTTGTTAGTCATGTTTTTTGTTTTAAAAAGAAATTAAGCTTCATCTTTTCTTCTTGCATTTTGATAGCATTTTGCAAGAAATTATTAAGGATGAGAAGACAATTTTTCCCACTCAGCTAGTATTGCTAGCCCAAGCGTGTCAAACTCATTTTCATTGAGGGCCGCATCAGGGTTGTGGGGCCAAGGTTGGTGTGGCCATAGTGGGCCTGGCCAGCTTGATGTCACTCGTGTTAGGGCCACTTGTGGCAGGATTCCCCTTGGACTCTCCCTCACTCTCATTTTCCTTCCTTCCTTCCTTCCTTCCTTCCTTCCTTCCTTCCTTCCTTCCTTCCTTCCTCCCTCCCTCCCTCCCTCCCTCCCTCCCTCCCTCCCTCCCTTTTTCCCCCTTCCCTCTTCATTCTCCTTTCTTCTTCCTTCCCCTCTTTCCTTATTTTTCCTTCCTTGCCCTCTTTCCAACTTACTTTCTTTTTCTTTGTCTTTTCTTCTTTCCTTTTCTCCTTTCCTGTCCCTTCTTGCTTAAATGCAAAAGGGGAAACATTTCTCCTTTTGTTTTGTTTTGAGTTTGTTTTTCTAACTCTCCGCTAGCGAAAACGGAGCCCTTGAGGACTGTGCGTGGAGGCCCCAGGGCCCGTTTTTGGCCACAATGGTCTCCTGCAGGAGCACCTCGGGTTGGTTCTTTGCTGTTTCCTGAGTGCCCCGATGGGCCAGATCTAAGCATCCTACGGGCTGGATCTGGCCTATGGGCCTTGAGTTTGACACCCCTGAGCTAGCCCACATTGCTAAAAGTAATATAATATATATTTCCAATCCTAAATCTGTGACATAGCAGATTCCATTACATTTTCCAATGCGGAGGATGTATTTCAAGATGTTACAAGTTATAGTAGTTTGCCTGGGCACTCCCAAGTTTGAATATAAAGCAGGATTTTTAAAACCAATCAACAGAACCCTTACTTTCCATGAGAACTTGGTGGGATTCCATGAGAGAATTCAGGGGATAAAAAAATGTGACTCACACAGAGGCATTTTTTTTCACTAGGGCTTTGCATCTTGATCAGGATTCGGTTTCTATATGGTTTAGTTATATTTTAAAGAACAACTTCCACAGCCTGAAAACCTCCAGCATGAACCATTGTAGGTACCCATAGATACTCCAGGAATGAGCGAAGAAATGCTTTACAAGCCATGAAGCACTCTTTCTGAGGCTAGCATAACGTTGCACAGTTAAACAACCAAATTACTTTGATTTGTTTTATGTATTGATTTATTTATTTTAAATATTTGTATAGCTACCCGTGTTATAACAAATTCTTAGCATCTCTCAATTCAAGCATTTAGGTATTCATGTTTACCTAAAATAGAATTAGTAGTGTAACCATCATGAATTAAAATGGTTTATTCAAAATTAAATATCGATGTAGTGCAATAATATGCATTCAAATATATCAGAAACTTAAATTACTTTTTAAAAAACCATTTTTGTAGCAGCAGCCTTTTTCTTTTTTCTTTTATTCTCAAAATTAAATGAAGCTCAGTGAAATATTATTTGATTATTCTTGATAATTAGAGTCTGATTAAATAACTGTTACACTATAAAGATGCAGGAAACTTGTTTTTATGTACTCATGAATAATTTGGGAACTGAAGCTAATTATTAAGTATACCAGTCTTTATTTACCTATAGTTTTAAAATGCTATTCCATCCATGGATAAATTTCTGTTCTTTCCATAGGTACTACAGCAAACTTGAGCTTCTCAGTTTTATCCGTGTCTAGATATATTAATGCCATTTCATCTGTTATCAGATTCGTGAATCTATTTTAGTTTATTATTATGGTTGGTTTTTCATAATTATGCTTAAATTTATGAATTTTATGTGTCAATGAGTTTCGAGCAGCAAGAAAGCTCATAACTTGCAGGAATGCTGAGAAAGGATGTGTTACATTATATACAAGACTAACTGCGTAAGCACAGTAACTATGTTTCTGTCTTGTTACTGTAGTGATATTGGAATTGGTCAATCTCAGGATGATAGCATTGTAGGTTTAAGGCAGACCAAGCACATTCCACCTGCTCTACCTGTCAGTGGAACACTGTCATCAAGTAATCCTGATTTATTGCAATCACATCATCGAATCTTAGATTTCAATACAACCCCAGGTGAGTATCAAATTTTGATTGTCATCTAGAATCAACCTTTTATTTGGTTGATGAATATAGAAACTGACATGAAATATGTGCGTCTTAAGTTCAGTTGAGTTTGCTTCATGTCACGGTGAAATGTTTAGAAATGGGTAAGATTATTTAAGTACACAAATTCAGTAACATAGTAAACTATACCCAATATGTCCCAATTAGGTTGCTCATATGAGTGAATGTCCCCAGTCATGGTCTTATTTTAGAAACCATTACAGACCAGTTATCACATTCACAGGAAATGAGGCCAGCAGTAGTAACACTCTTGGACAAAATAACATTTAACAAAAAGAGAAAGACAGCTGAACCTATGAAATGAAACAAATAACAATGTTAAAAAGTTATGATAATTATGGAGAGAGAGAGAGAGAGAGAGAGAGAGATCTTTGATCTAACTTTGAGGGTTGGGGATTTTCTTTCTCTTTCTCTCTCTCCCTCACACACTCCCACCCCCTCCAAAGCAACTCCATTCCTAGCCTGCTTTGAGCTCTGTTCTCAGGCTGCATACAAGGAAAGCAGCAGAAGTCTTTCTTTATCTCCCTCCATACTCTGCCAGAAATGAGTCTTTGCCAGTGCAGCCTCTTGGAGCAGGATGCCTTGCAGGATCCCAAAAACTCATTTCTGGTGGAGTTTGGGGGAGAGAAAGAAAGACTTCTGCTGCTTTCCTTGTGTGCAGCCAAAAGCAGAAGAAGAAAGAAGCGGAAGAAGCAACCCGGTGGCCAGGCAGGTTTCCCCCTCCGCTCTTTCCGCGCTCCCCCCACTACCTCGTGTTGTTCCTAATGCAAGCGACACAAGTCTTGTGTTCCCGTGGGCCTTGTGGGGCAGAGCAGCCTTTTGTTCCTCGCAGCCTGGATTAATTGCTTTGCGGGGGGTGGGTGCTTTGGGGTGACATTCCTCTGCAGACCACCAAAATTTTCTTGCGGCCCACCAGTTGGCAACCACTGCTCTGGAGCAGTAGAGAAGTTGTGTGACAACTCTTTAGATATTTCAAGATTATATTTATGCTATATTTATGCATAAATATACTGTGATATTTTCTCCCAGCCATATTTTCAGTAAACTAAAAATTCCCAGATTGTTTAACTGTTCTCCATGGCATATAGAATTCAGTTAAGAGGACGGTAAAGAGAAAGAAATGACAGTGGAAAAATAGACGTTCTCTGAAGAAGAGAAATGTATTGCTTGAAGTTAGTAAATAAAATACAAAGAAATTTTAGTTTATAAAGAGAAGTGAAATAACTGTCCTGTAGGATAGCTGATAATGATTATAAACTTAATGATAATGATTATATACTTCCTCAACAAATACTGTGTGCTTTTTTGAAAACTATTTCTTAATATTCTATAGTCTATTTAATGTCAATATATATGGTTCCCTTAGGAATTTTGAAGGAAGTTGTGTTTTAAACTCAAGCTGCCATTTGTATTTTAATAGCATGTTTACAGTTTAAATTAGTTGGTGTTAGTATTGACTGCATAAAGACTAAGATGGAGGAACATCCAGGTATTAGTACTTAAGGATCCTAAAATAGAAAAAAAAAGATAGAATTGTTGTCTAATATAGTTAAGAAGTTTGTAGTGCTGCTTAGGCAAGAGTGTTTAGTTACATGGATATTTTAAACTTGTAGTTAGCTTTTCCAGAGTAATTGGATTGTACATTGAAAATTCAAATTACATTTTAATAGGTTTGGGTAATAATCCAGATTTGCATTTTAAATCTGATTATTTCATTGTATGAGGCATTCACTTAAGATCTTTAAATATAATTTAATGCAAGATACTAATTAGATGTTCCATTTCCTTTACTTGAATTTACTGTGACATAATGCAGTTCTTGGTAGACATTATAGATTTGAAACCTCGCGTATGATAGTGTCCATTCCGTATCATTCAGAGGTATCCAGGTAGTCCTTAACTCATGATGGCAACCGGAACTGGAATTTCTGTTGCTAAATTATCATAAAGCATGACCACACCTCTTCATGATATTAATCCTCACAATCTAACTGAGATGGTCAATCAAATCCCACAGTGGTTACGCAGGGCAATTTTCTGCTGGCTTTCCATAATAAAAGTCATTGAGGAAGCTACAGGAAGTTGCAAGTTTCAAGGTGCCAGGCAGGTAAGTGGCTGTTGCTAGGTGGGTAAGAGAATGAGGGGGTGCACAGGACACAATAAGATGTCAAGGAGGCAATACAAGGGGTGAGTAAGAGGCCTGGGTCAAGGAAGGGAGCAAGGGATACTACACAAGAATGAGAGGGAGGTGTAGTGCAGGTCAAGGAAGTGTGAGGGAGTGTTCGATTTGCATGGCATTGATCAGGGAGGGTGCAATGAGATGCATGTGACCTTGGGTTAGGGAAAGTATGAACTCCAGAGTAGTGTGTACCTCTTCCTTTTTCATCACTGGTACATTCAAAATGAGGCGGTTCAAAAAAATTGCCCCCGCTTTCAGCAAATCAGTATTTCACATTATATTAGAACATTTGATCCTTAATTTTGTCTCATGTGATTCATCCACAAAGATACTGTAGTCTGCTAACTTTAGAGCTTAAGATTTTGATAGGAGCTATAACTCGTTATGAATCACTTCGTGAAAACATAGGACTCCTGCCAACCATTTCAGTCTTGTTTTGATTTTGATTTTTTAAAAAGCCATCTTAATTCTTCCTCTCACGTTTTCAATATTTGACTGGCATTGTTAGAATTTGTTAGAAGCATCCACCCCCAGGTTCCGTTGCTGGTTACTCATCTATACATAGGATTCAAGCAGTGATTAAGCAGCTGGTAACTGTTGCTTTGTAACTGATCATCCATAAATTTACACGGGCCAGCAAATTACCCTACTCAAGACTGAGTATGTATTTTGGATCCATTCTGGTAGTCATCAGAATTGAGATGGTTGGAGATACTGCTGTCTTTGTATGTAACATGATATGACAGGGCTCATATCAAAATAATGGATTTTGTTTTAGAACATTCAACTTGATTCATTGTACAGATGCAGAATGCCTGTATGTAAATTTAATGATGCCCACACAAAAAACATAGTAACAGGTAAAATACTAACTCTCTTAATTAATCATGACTAAAGCTTTTGAAAACTAATCAGTTTTATAGGTTTGAAGTTGGTTATTTCAATAAACAAGTACAAAATTGGTAGAGCATGACGCTAAAATAAGTTTATTTAAAAATACCAGGTACAGTAGGGGAAGGTTGAAAGGGGAGCTTGCCAAATTTGACTTTAGTAATTTTAATATAGTTCATTACTTTGCCTTCATGCAGTAAATAAATTTCCAATATGATTATAGATAGTTTCTTGGTTAACGATTTATTCAGCAACTATTTAAATTTATGGTAGCAGTGAAAAAGTAGATTTATGATTGGTCCTTGAACTTTCACCATTGCAATGTCTCTGTGATATGGGTTCTTCACTACCTGCAAGCAGTTACGACAATCACAGTGACCTATGGTGAAGTGATTTGTATTTTTGACCCTCATAGCCAGCTTCTGTCCCACAAAGTCAATGGAGAAGCTGGCAGTAAAGTAACAAGTCATTGTCATGCGATATCATGTTTAACAACTGTGAGTTATTTGTTTAACAATTGTAACATAATTAACATAAGTCAGATTTGGTTATATAATGTTATAATGTTCACTTAACAATCACATCATTTTGTGATGAAGTTGCCAGCCAGTCATTAAGTGAGGACTACCTGTATACCAGCTGTTTATCGAATAGGTGGAAATATATGGTACACTTTACAGAGAGGTCTGTTGTTCAAATCTAGTGTATCCATTCTACATATGTCTTAGATGGGATATCTAATATAAATAGGAAAACAATATTCTAAAAACAGGATACTTAAGGTGTTTATGCAAGAAGGATTTATCATGAAGAAAAAGTTATCAGAAGAAAAATATGCCTATTCTTATTATATTATTCCTTGCTGAGAAACAGTGACATTTTATTCTGTTATGTGTCTTAGTGTATTTTTCTTTTCATTACAGATTTACCAGATCAGGTTCTACGAGTTTTTAAAGCGGATCAGCAAAGTCGCTATATTATGATAAGCAAGGACACAACTGCAAAAGAAGTAGTTGTTCAAGCTATTCGTGAGTTTGCTTTAACCACCACCCCAGATGCTTATTCTTTATGTGAGGTCTCTGTCACTCCAGAGGGTGTCATTAAGCAGCGGAGACTTCCAGATCAACTCTCCAAACTTGCGGACAGAATACAGCTTAGTGGAAGGTGAAAAAATAGATACTATTTTGGCTTACAATTGGTATCCAGTAAATAAAGTCATTTGGAAGCTGTGTATTTATTTAAACCTGATAGGTTAATATGTGAAAAATATTTTCCAGGTATTATCTGAAAAATAACATGGAGACAGAAACGTTGTGTTCAGATGAAGATGCTCAGGAATTGCTAAGAGAGAGCCAAATTTCTCTACTGCAGCTCAGCACTATAGAGGTGGCTACCCAACTCTCAATGCGTAATTTTGAACTGTTCCGCAACATTGAACCTACAGAATACATAGACGATTTATTTAAACTGAAATCTAAATTTAACTGTGCTAATTTAAAAAAGTTTGAAGAAGTAATAAACCAAGAAACCTTTTGGGTAGCATCTGAGATTTTGCGAGAAACCAACCAACTGAAAAGGATGAAGATAATTAAGCACTTCATTAAGATAGCTCTGCACTGCAGAGAATGCAAGAACTTTAACTCAATGTTTGCAATAATAAGGTAAGCAATGATAGATTTCTTTCTCATGTTTATGTAGAAGGGTATCAAAGGTTAACATGTTTTGTAATTAAAAAGGTATTGGAAAGTAGGATACACATACACATATACTGTATATTTTTAGGAATTAGTAAATTTATATTACAAAAATATTTTATCAACCTGAAGCGATCTCAGTAGCTATAAAGACAAGAGTAATGTAAGAGTAAGTTTTCTTCCCTGTTTAAATAATAATTACAAGTTTTCATTATAAATATATTTATAAGCATTCTTAAGTATCCCAAAAACTTGGACTGAAATGAATGACCACAAATTTCTCTTTTAAGAGTTAATGCGACATAAGTTTGTTTGTTTTAGAAAATTTATATTGCTGTCTACTCACCCATGGCAAGTTAAGGCTGTTTACACAAATATAAAAACATCCTTCTCGGATGCAGTCCCTGATGGGGCATGACAATATTCGAACTTGGTTTTGGTGTTTGGCTTGGGTCCCCGAGAGGCCATTTACCACTGGAGGTGGTTGACAGGGTAAAACAACTTCATCCCTATGCCCCTTGACTCCTTGGTTCTGTTTTTCCCCATAGTTTTAAATTTTTTAATGTGCATAGTTTTAAAATTTAATTGTTTTGCTGATTATCTTTTTATAATATGTAAACCACTCATAGTTGCCTTATTGGGGACATGGTTGGCATATTCAATCAATCAATAAACAATCAATCTGTATTTCTTTATGTCAACCAAAACTCCCGTATTTCTTTTTTAATTCCTTGTCCGTACAACTCAATAAGTATAATTCTAGTTTCATCATGATATTAGACCGTAATATCTTTTTCATTGTTGTATGAATTTGTATCCTTGTTTTGGCTTTATTGCCATGCATGTTAATAAGTTCACCCTTCCTTTTCTCATTGCCAGTCCTTATTTGATATTTCTTTTAAATTTTAGACAATTTAGTTAGTGTCATATATCATCAGTAAATTGTTTTGCAAACATAATCTCTTAAATTATAGCACAATATATGTTTAACACTAACTCTCCACAGTAACATGTTTTCTGGAGTTTTTTAATGTTTAAAATCTTAAATATCAAAGTTTGAACATGGTACTGTAAGTTTATACTGAGGTCCGTATCTTGTCCCTTATTATAATTAAATATGAAAACATGCAATTTTGATCTGTTAATATCTTAATGCTATTGAAAGAAGTTAGAATACTTAATTCAGGCATTTTTGTTTGAGTACATTCATTCAGTAATCAAAGTTACAATGCAACTGAAAAAGTCTTTATAACTGGTCCTCACACTTATGACCCTTGCAGCATCCCTACAGCCACATGATAAAGATTCAAATACTTAACAACCGGCATGATATTTATGATGGCTGCAGCATCCTGGCCATTTGCAACCTTCCTAGCTAGCTGATTTCTGACAGTCAGTAGAGGAAGACAGATTCGCTTAATGACTTAATGTCATGTATTTAACTGCCATGGTTATTTGCTTAACCACCATTACAAAAATAATAAAAACGGAAGACTCACTTAATGACCACATTGCTTAGCAATATTAATTCTGGTCCCAGTTGTGGTTGTAATTGAAGACTACCTATATTTTAGCCAAATTACTATGAAAATGAAGGCTGAATGTCAAATATCAGGGCAGAGACTCAAGCCTAAGAGAGTTTTTTATAATAATCATTGTCACATCTTTGTACTGTATTACTTGGTATTGTAGCAGTGTTATAAAATATTTGGGAGAACGTTTAGAAAAAGATAAATAGTGTATTATCTTTTTATTGTCCTTCAATTCACTGTTCAAAGATTTCTGCTTTTATTTTAAGATTAAACTCTTGAAAAGCTTTCTTCGCTACTGTCTGATTTTCAGCTATGTTTATGTTAACTGAATTAATTTAATTCTTGATTTACAAACTGAATATGAGTGGTGCACATGCAAATTTCAAAAACCTTTTAAAAATATTGTTTAGTGGTCTGAATTTAGCTCCGGTTGCAAGATTACGAACCACGTGGGAAAAACTTCCAAGCAAATACGAGAAATTGTTTCAAGATCTTCAGGACTTATTTGATCCATCTAGAAACATGGCAAAATACCGCAATGTCTTGAATAGTCAAAATCTACAGCCGCCCATTATTCCATTGTTCCCTGTAATAAAAAAGGATCTTACATTTCTTCATGAAGGTAAGTTTAAATTACATCAGGTACTTACCATGTATTCAGCATTCTGCTGAAGTGTGTCAATTGTTTTTACAACAGATAGAAAAAATGAATAGTTCTTTGCCAATAATTATTTTGTAACATAGGAAATGATTCCAAAGTGGAAGGTTTGGTGAATTTTGAGAAACTAAGAATGATTGCAAAAGAGATCCGCCATGTGGGCCGAATGGCTTCTGTTAATATGGATCCTGCTTTAATGTTCAGGACTCGGTGAGTATGCTGACCAACAGAAAATCAGTTAAAATATGTAATAAATAATTTTCTATGTAATAAGAGGCAGGCATACTGTACTGTAATCATTAATTACTTATGTTAATTTACTTAACTAATAAGCATGTAGAATTTTAAATGAATTGGAAAAGAGATCATTATTTCTTAGATAACTACATGTTTTTACATAATCATGGATTCTTGTATTTATCAATCTGGAACAATCTGCAATGGTCTTTTTAGCATTTTTTTACAACTATAGAAATATTTATTTACCTTTAAAAATGACATTAAAAATTAAATCTTTTGCTATAAAGCCGTGGCTTGGCAGTGATGAGTAATTGGGAGCAAGGGATCACCCTCTTAAGTAAAACACAAGCCAGAACTTGTCTACATCCACAAGGCTCCCCGCCCCAATTCAATAAGGCAAGAAATGAATTACAAATCTGGTTGCTTTTGCTACACATAGCACCTACCTCTGCATTCAGGGCAATGCCCTAGTATAAAAAGTATATCTATGGCCTTTATCAAGCATGGGAGTTCTAGCATCCTTGTAGGATATAGGTTTTTGAGTAGAACCAATGAAGTCCTTGGAGAACTTTGAGAACTTTTTCAGCATTTTTAAGTAATGTACTTTCCCTTTTGAGGTTCACATCAGAATCCTTAATCCAACATGTTCAATAAACATTATACGTAATAGATGAACTACTCATCATTTAGACATTAGTATTCAGGGTTTGCGTTCCCACTGATTTATCTGTGATTCTCTCATTATGACTACTTCAGCATAAGCACTCAGATTGTTTTATTACCATGTCACATTTTCTAACAATTTGAATAACATTCTACGTATGTTTATTCAGGAAAATTAGATGATTCTATTGACACAATTAATTCAGTGCAAGCAATCTTAAATTGTGATTGTTTTCTATACTTGATATGTTCCATGTCAAATCCTTTATCATTCTCACTGGTCATATATAGGCACAATTCAGAAATAGTATTATAGTGGAGAAAGGAGTGAGGTAAAATACCTGAGTAATTTACACAAAAGAGAGAAGAAAGAAGAAGAAAAATTAAAAAAAATGTCTTAAGTATTAAGCCATCATCAATTGTGCTTCAGATTTAGTTTTTTATTATAATCATATAATCATATTATGTATAATCATATCATATCATGATTATGTAAGAAGAAGGCAAAACAAGGAAAGAAAAATAAAACAATGCAATGACATTGTGCTATCAGATTGAATCTGAAGTTTACTGTTGTCTAGTTTTAACTAAATCCAGCTTGAGGTTTTTTTGCTTCAGAACTACTTTTGAATTCTTAAATTTATCAAATATCATGCTGAACTATGATCAAAATGCAATAATACAGTATATACCATGAATGAGTTTTAAAATAATTTAGGAAAAAAAATATATTCATTCATTGCTATTCATAAAGATGACTGTCCGTTGCAGGATCGTTTTTTGTGTTCTAAGCAAGAAAAGAACAGACAATGTAATATTCTTGATTAAAGACAATAAAAGACGGTCAAATTGCAGTGTACAATTAGTCACTATCTTATTTACCTTTAATCAGGATGAATAGGGGAAGAAATAGTGTCGTCCAACATAAATCTCCTGCACTTAATTTCATGAAAGCCTTCCATATTGTTAGTGTATCTTGCCCAGAAAGGCAAGAAAATGTGTTAAATAGGAATCCAAAATTTATTTTCCAATGAAAAACTATCCCCAAAAGGTGAATCAGGCTTTATTGCTTTGTTGTCTGGGCAATTGGTATTCCATAGTTCCATAGGGAGGTCCAAAGCACATTCAAAACCGACATGCCCCTATCAGTCCCAATCCAATGTCAAAGATGTATAATTGTTAATTGTTCTGAAAAAGTGCCCGAGAGAAGGCTATTCTGGGATGTCTGTTACAGCTTGTCCTGAAGTCTGACTCTTTTCTTCTGAGCTTATAACCTTTCTCTGTCTCTTCTTTAAATCCATGCTTCAATATTCATGGCTCTCACTTGCAGGAAGAAGAAATGGAGGAGTCTGGGGTAAGTGGCTGGAGAGAACGATACAGGCAGCCATTCCTTTCGTGAACTTCTGCATTGTACTTTTCTTGCTTCTCCTTAATTTTCTGATGCCTTAGCAACTTTTTCCTTTTTGATAACACTTTGTTACTTACATCAAATTTAATCCTAGTGCTTCTTTTGCTTGAGGTCATAAATTTTAAGAGCTGTGAAACTTTACAAGTCATGAGACACTTTGATTGGATTTAGCAGTCCCATGTAATTAGATTTGTGTTCCAAAATTGGGTTGTGTGATGATGGTTCAGTTATATCAAAAAATAAATTTAGATGTGTCTCATAAATTAGGAGCACTATTCAAATTTGTGTGAACTACATTTTAAATATAGTGCTTTTTACAGCTCAACTAACTAAATTATCTTTCTACAAATCGGTCTTCATTCAAACCAAACTTCATTTTTGCTGTTAACGACTTAGATATAACTCCCATACAGAAAAACATCCAAATCTGCATGTTGTTTCCTTATTAACTAATAAGAGTCTTTATTGTATAACAAGAAATTCATTTCAACCAGGAAAAATAAAAGAGGAGAGACATTTGTTACAGTGTTTGCAATAAATTTAATGTTTTAATAAATATAATTCCAAATATACATTGTTTAAAAAGGTATCTAACATTAAGCTTCAGTGAAATTTGATTTGTATTTACTCACTACGGACATTTTTATGCATGAGTCCATTTTGTTTACTAGTACTGCTTTTGAAATAGATTATTGTGAAGAATTAGTATGGATCTCTTCCCAATGATGTAGAATTTGATTATTTTTTATTTTGGGCAGAGGAGGTATTATGGATATGTTTTAATGAAGATATGCAGAGACTTATAACTAAAATGTGATTTTAAAATCCTTGATTTTTAGCCTTTATTTTAGTTGTATGACTTACCTGAATGAGGCATGTGAGCTTTACTATAGACTGAGTTCATGCAGATCTTTGCATGTTTATAGTTCTTTAAAGGATTTAGCGATGAGCTCAATTTCTGACTTATCATCTTCCTTTATCCTAGGTCTCTTAGCCAAGGTAGTACAAACACAGCAGTACTGGATGTCGCACAAACAGGTGGACACAAAAAACGGGTGCGTCGCAGCTCATTTCTTAATGCCAAAAAGCTGTATGAAGATGCCCAGATGGCTCGAAAAGTCAAACAGTATCTCTCTAACCTAGACTTAGAAATGGATGAAGAAAGTCTTCAGGCACTGTCGTTGCAGTGTGAACCAGCCAGCAATACCCGTAAGTGTTGTTTTTTTTACTCTCTGTTAGTATCCCAAATGACAAGGATGAAATGAGTACAAATTAAAGAATTACAGTATTCTGAATCATGTTCCTCTGTATCCTCATAATTATTAAGGGTACAGATGAACTGCACCCAAGTCAACTTATACAAATAATAATTTTATTTTGGCGTTAAGTTCAGGCCTGGCTATTCATAAACATTTGGGTTTTATTTATTAAAGAACTTTGATTTTTATAATTTGTTAATTTCTTAATATAATTAACTCTTCTTAAGGTATATAAGTTTATGGAAGGTTACAAATAATAAATACATGAAAATAAATTTAAATATTTTTTTTGCCATGTAAGTAAGAAAAGTCTTTATGATTAGACTATCTGCATTAGCAAACTGGTTACCGTACACCAAAGCAGATTGTACTTATACTTTCTTATACTTTTGTTTTTAATATCTTATGTTTTCATGTCTTAAATTATGTAAATAGTTTTATTACTCTTTATTATGATGCCATATTATTTTTAATGATAATTGCCTTTCAGTTGAACAAGGAATATTTTGGAATATCTAGAGAACAGATTATATTTTATTTTTTTAATAAATATTAACACCATTTGTCATTAATTTAAAATTCAAACATTCTAACAGACTCAATTATCATCTTAATCTATGCCATTCTATATTTTTTGTTGAAGTACCCAAAACTCCAGGGGACAAACGGTCTGGAAAAGCTGAAACGTCCCCCGTAACACATCGGTCAGGGATGCAACAGAAGACTCAGCAGCAGCAACAGTCCAAAGCAAACCAGGTTTTACAGGTTCCTGCTGTATCACTTTATCCTTCTCGTAAGAAAGTACCAGTAAAAGACCTCCCACCATTTGGTAAGTTCTGCAAAGAATTTTGTTTGGGAGGAAAACAAATTTTCACAAGAAAAATTTCAATAACTTTGCAAATAAAAGTATATACAATTGTTATTAAGAATTATGATAATAATAGTAAAATCCAATAGAAGCTAAACTTAAAGAAAAGATAATAGCAGGGAAAAGAATAATGAAAAAGAAAAGAGAAGAAAAACAAGAATAAGACTATAATAAAGAAAAAGTGTATAAAGAAGCGATTTCAAATCTTCATCCCAAGTATAAATATACTTTTCATCTTTTAATGTTACAAATAGTTTTGCTTCACTCCATATCCCATCTCTTAGCTTAGCCTGTTATGCCTTGTAACAACCAAAACAGGATCGATTTCCCGCAAGAATCTGTTCGTATTTTATAATTAATTCCAAATTTTTATTGTAAATGATTCACTATTCCAATTTTATTTGGACCCTAAATGGTTTTTATAATTTTCTACGATCAAAATCTTATTTAAGCTTTTTGGTGTTTTTTTCAGATTCTTTTTTTTTTTAAAGTTTATGATTAAAACTTTTTTTTGTTCATGATTAAAAGCAGATTCACCCAGGCTTTTAAAACTTGATAGTAGTTGATGAGCAATTTCCAAAAGGGATTAGAAAGCAAGGTTTTTGAACTTAATGTCTTTTAAGTCTCCACTGTGGTTGGGAGCAAGATGATGAATCGTATCACCTCCTGGTGCGAAAAATGCAGTCTGCATTTCTCTTCTCTTCACGAGGAGAAGCCATCCAGAGCATATGTGGATGAAGTCTTATCCTCTCTTTCCCCGGAGAGTGAATTGGTCATTATTTGCATGTATTTTATTCAAACTTACTTTTTACTATGATGAGTTATACAGATCAGTTGTTTCTTCTGAATCATAATAATTTGTGAATTGTCATGAGTTGACTTTAGCAAGAGTGTCAGACACTTTGAGATTTGGGGGTCATTCTTCTGTCTCAGTGTATTGCCTAATTTCATGGCAGGAGTGGTGAAGATAAATGTAAATGGGTAATGAGCCTTACAGGGAAAGGGTGAGTTAAAATGTAATTAATATTACATTTGAAAGGTCCACGAGGTGCCTTTTTATGCACATACTGACTGAGGAGAGTGTGTCTGTGTGTCTGTGTGTCTCTGTGTGTGTATATCTCTGAAGTTTGTTTTCCTTTTTCTCTTTAAGGCATAAACTCCCCACAAGCTTTAAAGAAAATTCTTTCACTCTCTGAAGAAGGAAGTTTGGACCGCCACAAGAAGCAAGCAGAAGACACAATTTCAAATGCTTCTTCACAATTATCTTCTCCTCCCACTTCACCCCAGAGCTCTCCAAGAAAATGTACTTTAGTTACATTTTTAATTTGTTAAAATATTTTTTAAAAATATAGTTTAAAATATATTAATATACTTTAAAATATAATATATTTGATAATATACAATACAATATATTAATATTTTAAAATTCTCATATGCTCTCTCTAATCATAGTTAGCTACAGTAACAGTTAACAATAGCCATAATCATTAGTTGCCAAAAAAAATAATACATTGCCAAAAACCCTGTAAACTATGTTTTATAATGAAGAGACATTTGCTTCCATTATAAATTATATACTATGTCATAAAGTCCCTTAAGGGAATAATTTTCTCTGTGTTCTTAAATTTATATTAAAATAATGCATAAATTTATAGGCAATATTGAATGCTTGGTCTCAAAAAAAACCCCAAACCCACTGCTAACAGTTTTATATACTCCCTTTACATTCAGTTGACTGAAAAAATTAGAAAAATGCTGATTCATCTGAACAGACTTAGAGGAGTTTAATTAACTCAGCCACCGCCAATTTTTATAGTTATTTCATAATCACAAGTTCTATAACTTTATTTCTGGTTTTGTTTTTTTCTTCTGAAAAGTCAGTTTTCATTACTTTTATGAGGCTGGGAGCTAAGGCTGGGAAAATAGGTTTCTCTGTCTTGACCCATAAGCTGCAAAGAAGTCTTTTCCTTGGAAATTTGATTAGCCCAGACACCAGAGAGCTTCTGAAAGCAACAATACACAGCATTTACAAAGCACTTTTTAAACATCATGAAATAATTAATCTTCTTAATATTTTTTTTCTTTATTTCTTGCTTTGTCTTTAGACTGAATGGTAGTTATTTTTAATTACAATTTCTTACTGTTCCATTGGCATTTATGTTCCTTTTTGTGTGCTGTCAAGAATCATAATTACAGAAGTATGGGAATTTAATAAGTCATAGGATTGCCTTCATTTTCAGGCATAGCATCTCCTTATGTGGAGATAAATTCTTTCAAAAAGCATATAAGTAAGTTCAAGGAAAGTAAATTACTACTGCATATTTTAAATTTTGTACTATTAAGGATAGAATAGCCAAACAGTTTATTAGTTTATTGTGTCAGTATTGAATAAAAAGTGCAAGTATAGTTGTCCATTGTGAAGGAATCATGCTAAAGGTTATATGACTGTATTCATCAGGATTGTGCGAAGTAGGGTTTCAAACTGATAAAAAACATACATTTATCAAAAAAGTACATTGCCTATTATACTTCCTCCTTTTCAAACTCAGCATCTTGGAAATGAGATGTTATCAATATTCCATCGTACTTTATTTGTTTTTGGAATAAGAAGACATTTGAATTAGTTTTGTTCATTTGTAGTTTTTATAAAAATTTTGGAAAATTTTATTAAGTAATTAAATTATTCTTCCTGCAGGTTACATGCTGGCTCCTAGTGGCACAGTGGATAACTTTTCCGACTCTGGTCACAGTGAAATTTCTTCCCGGTCTAGCATTGTCAGCAATTCTTCTTTTGACTCCATGTCAGGGTCTCTACAAGATGAAAGAAGACAGAGGCATTCAGTCAGCATTGTCGAGACTAATCTTGGAGTGGGCAGGATTGAAAGAAGAGCCATGGTTGAACCGGATCAGTACAGTTTAGGGTATGATGTTCATGTCTTCTATGTATTTAAGATTTCTATGTGATTTTTATTTCTTTATTCCGCTCTTTGAATCAGGTTTTGAATACATACGTTGCTATAAAACTTCAACCATTTTGCCTGTTGATGACTTAGAAATTATACAAAATATAAGACTAAACCTATAGGATTTATAAGATCAAATCTATAAGATCGGTAATAAAGATCAACTGTCAGGCATGAACAACCGGATACACACATGTGGTGTTCAGACTTGCTATTTTATTGTTTTATGCCTATTTCACAGGAATATCCTCAGCCAGCAGTTTTTGTCTGGTGAAGATTAGATAAGGCTCAAATGTATGGGGTCGGGGGTGGTTGAGAGTCAGACCTTGTTCTTCTTGTGTTTACTTATCTAGTCCAGACTAATTCCAGTCTTGAGCCCTCCTCTCTGCTGCACTTTTAGATTCAATAACTAAAAGATCTTTCAAAGCAAGATAAGTCCTTTACGCAATGGTTGAAGCAGTGTAGCCTTTTACTGGGCTCATAAAACTTAAACATTGTGTATGTGTGTGTGTATATATGTCCAACAATGCATCTATTTATCTGTGTATCACCATACCATATACGTTTCTAAGACTGATCTATTGGTGTTTTTTTTGCTAGATTTGAATATTTTCTTATTTATTTCATTTATATTCTTATTCCTATATTATATTCTTATTCATTTATATGAAATAAAGAACAATAGAAAAAATACATGTTGAAAAACCAACCTTGTCTTACTTGAAATAGGACTGATTATGATATATTTAGTTGCCAGTATTTGGATATTCCAGTACAAATAGTCTTCAACTTATGACCACAATTGAGCCCAAAATTTCCGTGGCTAATCAAGTGAATTCTGCCCCATTTTATGACCATTTTTTTTGCCAGGGTGGTTCAATTGAGTCAGTTCAATTGTTAAGTGAATCATGCAGTCGTTAAGCTAACCTGGCTTCCCCTATTGATTTTGCTTGTCTGAAGCCATCTGGCAAGGTTACAAATGGTGATCCAGGAGACCCGAGGAGACAGGAACTGTCATAAATACATGCCAGTTGCCAAGTGCCCAAATTTTGATCATGTAACCTTGGGAATGTTGCAATGATTGTAAGTGTGTAAAACGATCATAAAAGTCATATTATTCAGTAGTGTTATAACCCTGAATGTTCACTAAAGGAATAGTTGTAAGTTGAGGACTGCCTGGATCTGTAATGATTAAAGTGCTTTGTATAATTGCAGCATATAAATAAGTAAGGGAGGAATAACTTTTTAATGTATTCGGGGGAATAAAATTTGTATAAAATCTGTCTTCTGCTCCACCAGTCGCTATTGGTTACATCACTGGGTTATGTTACAGTGACTAATGATTTTATTGCTGTGCACTTTTAGCTCCTATGCAGCACTGTCAGAAAACAGAGGGTTCTATGCTGCAGCCACCATGCTTTCTTCTCCTAGTACGGAAGAGCTGTCCCAGGATCAGGGAGACCGGGCGTCACTTGATGCGGCGGATAGTGGCCGGGGGAGCTGGACTTCTTGCTCGAGCGGTTCCCATGACAACATACAGACAATACAACATCAGCGAAGTTGGGAAACCCTGCCTTTTGGACATGTTCATTTTGACAATTCAGGCGATGGGGCAGGACTGTGGGCCTCAGGCAGTCACATGGACCCCTTGATGTTCTCCGATCCTGGCGCAAAATACGCCAGGCAGAGTCAAGGGAGGGAGGGCCTCGATCAAGCACAGTCCAGAGCCAGCTGGGCCTCCTCCACAGGATACTGGGGAGAGGACTCCGAAGGGGATACAGGTACCATAAAACGGAGGGGTGGGAAAGATGTCTCAAGTGAAGCGGAATCCAGTAGCATGACGTCTATGACAGCAGAGGACTCCAAACCCGTTGCTATGCCGGCTCACATAGCTATGCCAACAAGTAACGCAAAGGGTCTTATTGGTAAGTTTAATTCTGTTTTCCACAAAACATCCTACGTATTTATTACGAATTTATTTTATAGATATTTTTATTTAGACTTTTTTAAAAAAAATGTACCTAGAGGTTAACCTTTATCTCTTTTTTTCATGAAACCATGAAAAGTAATGCTTTCTGCTGCAGATACTACTTTTGTCGTTGTCATAATAATCATCATGTTACTAAAGCCAAATTATGAAGTTCATTTGCACAAGGCAATGCATATTGATAAAGACAACGTGTGCAAATATTAAGAGTTACGGAACAGATAAATTCCCCATGCGCAGTTGCTGTTTCTCACCCAATCTAGCCTGTATCTCCTACCTTAAGCCCACCTTCACCATCAGCTTCCCCCAACTCTGAAAGCAAATTACTGACCATATATCTTAGCACCATAATGGTTTAGTAATTACACAGCATCCAAAGTTGTCCTAATGACCCAGTTAAATCAAATTAGTTAAGAATAGGAAGCATTTTGAGTAGATTGACAATTTCACTTGACTGTGTGGACATATAATTAAACCAGCCAGCTTTTGGCTTCCTGGGATATTTGGAATTGGAAAACCAGGTTGATGTACTCATAAAATGACTGGTGGGGCTGGTGGGGGATTTCCCTTTAACAAAACAGCAAGTTACTAAGCACCACAACGTTTCTTTGTAAATTTTGTCCTTTTTCTAACAATTGAGCTGACTTGCAAATGAAGCACTGGCCCATCAGTTGATTGTCTAAGAAAGGTTATGGTCTTAAAAACAGAAATGATGTTAGACGTCCTTTGCAATATTCCAGCTCTCTCCCCCCCACCCCTCTCCCCCACACATATACAAACATTTTTTTAAAATGTTAAAAAATTAGTGAGTGAGGAGTCTGGAATGTGCCAAAGCAGAACCTACAATGAGGTCCAATAATTACAATGCCTTCTTTACTCATTTTGTCTGAATTGATTGATTTTTCATTTTTCCCTCCTCACAAAAGGACTTATGTTGTCTTTCAGCTTAGCCAGATACCAATTCAATTTGCTTTCTACGCCAATTCAAACCCCTTTTTACATGGGCATCTTCAAGAAATTGTTTTTGAAAAAAAAAACTTGAAATGTTTAGTGAACTGAAAAATAAACAAAAACAATGGTTTTATTGGAAGAATACTTCAAATTATATACTTTATTGGTTTTAATATAATTAACTTGCTTTTACTGATTTTATTGAACTATGCTGAAAAAATTAGGCAAAACATGAATCTTGTTATAAGGAGGGAATATATATATATATAAATTTAAAACCATTTATTTCACAAATTGGTTTAATATTATTACACCTTATTACATAGAATCCTTGTAGTAGCTATATTTTTATAGTACTAAAGTCGTAAGATATCTTTTCCAGATGTCACCATTCCTTTGTGAATTCCCTTTATGGGTGCTTTCTAAAATGGTTTTCAATTTCCACTTCTGATCAATCGCTTTTCTGCCTTTTTTGTAGCTTTCTTAAAGTGTTTCTATTTGTGTCTTATAAATCAGACACGCACATTAAAATAATGTCTAAACTATGTAGATAGATGGCAGAATTAAGCCTAATTAACCACTTGTGTATGATAATTACTTCATAGAAAAGTTTTGCACCCATGATCAGCTCCCCATGAGAATCAATAAAATTGAAAACATAACTGCCTTTTGACTGGCTTACGTAATCAAGATCATGTAAACATCATATCACATTTTGGAAGTCATAAAAAAGTTGCGGCTTTTGAGGAGATGCTGCAAATCCACAAAAGGCTGTGACCTTTAGCGGATTTTTCATCGTTACGATGGTTTGCAAAATATTGCACATAACCTAATACAGAGTCAATATCAGTATGTATTATGATGTTACACTAATATGTAGTGTATTATTTTACTACAGCTCGAAAAGAGGGTCGCTATCGTGAGCCACCGCCAACCCCTCCGGGTTATGTAGGAATACCTATTGATTTTGCGGAAGGAATTTCTCATCCAGCCCGAAAACCTCCAGATTACAACGTAGCACTTCAGAGGTCGAGGATGGTGGCCCGGTCTAATGAAGGCCCTGGGATTTCAGCTTCGCCTTCCCAGCAGCAGTCACAGGGTCACTCCTCTATCAGGCCCGTTAACAAACCTCAGTGGCATAAACCAAACGAGCCAGACCCTCATCTTGCTCATTATCAGTCTCAAGGGTTTTCCACAGAGGAGGATGGTAAACATCTTATCACATTTTGAAAATCATAAAAGGATAATTTCGCAAAGGGCATTAGAAGGGATGGTGCAAATCTACAAAAAAATAAAATAAAAAAAATGACTCAGGCTCATTTAAATTTCTCACTTTGTTACCTGAATATGTTTATGAAGGAAAAGATAATTAACTGTATGGCAAATATGCTAGGTTTCTCCCCAGCCTTTGTGAAAGGCTGAAAGCTCATACCACATGCTGATAACTGTTTAAATGTGGTGTATAGCTTTTTTGTTGAAAAAGAGCTTCTCTGAACAGATGTTGAAGACATTTTTAAATACACTCTTTTCTATATCAAGATATTTAAAGCAAAGCTGAAGAAACGGTGGCTTTCTTGATTTTGCTCCACAATACTAGCTAGGTATGGTCAAATTCCAGTGAAGTCCCTCAGGCCAATTATAAAGGTGTACTTCAATTGTAATATATAGTTCAGGATCATAATTAAATGGAAGCAAATTTAAGAATACCAAATATATGCCAGTTTGCTGTAACAGTTAAAGGCTCTGGGCTGGAAATCAAGAAACTTTGAGTTCTAGTCCTGCCTTAGACATGAGGCCGGCAGGGAAAGTTTGGATCAATCCCTCTGTTTCAGCACTAGGAAAAAGGCAGTGACAACAGCAATGGCAAATCAATTCTGAAAACTAGAAAAATGCATGTATTCACTAGAAGACAAGGCTGACAAAAAAAAGTATGTGACAAACCTATCACTTAAAAACCTTCTGAGCAGAATGTCAAATTGACTGTCAAGTTTAATTAATTGACACGTTAAAATTAACATTTAGTACTTTAGTGGAGAGGAAATAAAGAAAATATAGTCCCCCCCAAAAAAATTCAGTGTTTAAGGAAGATAAAGCATGAACGCAGGTATTGAGTTTTAAGTATCTTTATCTTTACTTCCCTCCTGTCATGTTGTGTTTGCAGAAGATGAGCAAGTCTCTGCCGTCTAAGAATTGGAGCTTTCGGGATTACAAGTAAGCCAACTTTAAGGAGAGCACAAGATGACATCCCTAATATAGGAGCCTTGGAACATTAATGAAAGGATGGTGGACCTGTGCCTCCTTCCCTGCCTTAAAGCAGCATATGGGCTTCTTCTCCCCTCCTCCCCTCCACCCTTTCCTCCCTTGCATGTGAAATACTGTGAAGAAATTGCCCTGGCACTTTTCAAACTGTGTTGCTTGAAATGCGCAGTGCAGCGTTCTCTCAGCTCTCACTGTCGCTGTCTACCACATCACACAGTATCATTCCAAATCCCAAGATCAACTCATAACTCTTGACTGCACTCTCCCATGCCTGGAAGCATTTTAAATTCTTTTTTTTCCTATCTTAATCATTGATCCTAGCACTTCACTTGATTGACGAAGAGATCAACTAGTGGACAAATACATTTGGCCTTTATAAAGAAAGAAATGTATTGAAATCCTTCAAGTACCCAGTGCTTGTTTCTTGTTTACAATGCCTTTGTTGCTACTCTCTCTCTCTCTCTATATATATATATATATATTGTATTTGGAGAGGGATAAAAGGTTACACCTGCGTTAACTACAGTATTATTTTGTATTATTTAAGAAAGTTTGCTAGCCTGGACTACTTTTTTTTTTTTGTTTCAAGTGATGATGTGGTTAGCTAAAAATGGCATGGTTTATAGGAAGGATTCAGCCTTTCAAGCTTTGTTTTTAGTGTTCCACTCAAAACACAGTGGATTAATTTCAGAATTGTTGGTTTTGTTGCTTTGCATCTCTAATGATGTGATTCTATTGACTCTTGCAAATAATCTGTGAAGAAAGTTAGTGTCCTTTTCCTGTGCCTTAAGGAATACAGGATGGTGAGTAAAAAATATTTGTCCTCAATTGTCAAATGGCAATATCATCTTTTACTGAAAATATTTACATGATTTTTTTCCCCCCATCCTCCTCCTTGTACTGCATAATGGGCTTTTGTCACACAGAAATAATCAGGGTAATGTATTAAGGCAATTCAGCACACCCTGCAACCAGTGCCAATCCTTAATACTAATCTCAAATTGTGTTGCTATTGGCTTGGCATTAGAAAACAGTGAACCTTTTGAAGAAAGTAGGTGTCGCTCAGCAAGCTTTTGCAGTGAACTATTATTCACAATTGTCTTTTACAGAACATTGCATATATAGACGAGGCCAGTGGGTATCAATCACCTGCTTACAGCTGCTATGAACCCTTTAGTGTTGGAAACGAAACTACATCCCCTTTCTATTTTCTGTTGTTATTTTTGGTTTTGCACAGACTCCAGAAAAGTGAAGGCTGCCAATCCGAGTAGTACTCAAATGTGAGAAACTGCTGTTCTTGGATTTTTTTTTTCCATTAAATTCAGCTGATCATATTGATCAGTAGATAAAAGTAAATAGTATCAACTTATAAAGATCAATTTACAGTGGTTTTTCACTGTATTGAACAATGTCAGTGCTTTATTTAATCTCTTTCTTCTATAATCATAGCTTTTCTCGATTTGCTTATATATCACATTGTCAATTATGCATTTGTAATTTTACATGTAATATGCATTTGCCAGTTTCATTATATAGGCTATGGACCTCATGTGCATATAGCAAAACAGAACAAACCTAGCTGTCTCACAAGTTGCACAAATGTTATATAGGAATTAAGTAATTGTAGACCATAGGACTGCTAATCTCAGTTCACTCTGTGATGTCAAGTGCAGAATGTACGACTTACTGGTGATTTCCTCATACTTTTGATACTACTTGTACCTGTATGTCTTTTAGAAAGACATTGGTGGAGTCTGTATCCCTTTTGTATTTTTAATACAATAATTGTACATATTGGTTATATATTTTTGTTGAAAATGGTAGAAATGTACTATGTTTATGCTTCTATCCAGTTTGTATTAAGCTGGAATATAAATAAATATAATGTTAATGATGTCTGATTTGTTTCATGCTGATTTGCTTGGGAGAGGGGCGGTTATGTGTAATATTCTTACATGTGGGAGGAAAACCATACATATAACTTTAGTCACAGAAATTATCTGAGGAACTTTTAAGACATAAAATCAAGATCTAGTACTAGTAATATTATGGTAAAAATCATGCACACATTTTCATCCAAAATATGCAGCAAGATATAAAATATGATATCTCATTTTAAGTTGGTTGGTCAGTTCCTGTCTCAACCAATAACGCTCGATTCATCTGAAAAAGAAAGAGCAGATCCTGAACGTGCAGGAAGAGGACTAGGAAGAAAAAAAAATATATATATATATATATATATATGGATCTTTGGTTGTTCGGGTTTTCTCCCGCGTAAGATTCGAAGTATCTAGGCAACGTTTCGATGAAGTCTCATTCATCATCTTCAG